AAAATGAGATTTATCAAATGGTATGGATACCCAACACGGCTCCATGGTGCAGAAATCTGGACAACGAACAAGCAACTAGAAAATGGAAATGAGTCTCTGAAAATGTGGATATACAGGAGAAAGGATCCTACGTAGTTCATAAAAGCAAAAACAATCAATTACTGCTGTATGGTGCAGAAATCTGGACAATGCACACAAACAACAAATACAAAAATGGAACTGTCTCTGGAAATGTCGACATACAGGAGAAAAAATCGTATTTTATGGAGGCACAAACAATCAAATGCAAAAGTTCTGGAAAGATTGCGAATGAAAATAGAATTAATAAAAGAAATAAGAAGAGAACCGAGATATTTTGGCCACATTACCAGCTATAACAGCCTGATATAAATCCTGGTGCTGTGAAAGATCTAAGACAAGAGAGCACAAGGTAGACAACGATACAAGTGGGAGGACAACATCAGGAGATAAGTGAACAGCAGTCTGAAAGAGTGTAGAGCCAAGACAAGAGACAGTGTGTTGGATATCCATTGCAGTCAACCTTCATTGTGGAGACCGTACTTGACTGATTGATTAAAACAATGAAAGATGACTGATCGCTCTCACTGCCTAGCACGCAACACACAGAAGTAGACAGCCTGGGGACCCTTGCGGCCATAGCAGTGGTAGTCTGGATAACTTGCCAGTGTCAGTAAAATAAACACACGCTGTAGATATCATACTAAAAAAAGTGAAGAAGCAAGAGAAGAACGAGAGGAAGGGGGAGAGAGTTCGGTTATCTGTGAGCACTTTGCAAAACAAGGCCCTTCGGTAACAAGCAGCGCAATCAGTAGAGAAAGAAGAATAATATTGCCTGGAGAGAATGAGGCACCTGGGTGTAACCAGAGGGTCTGGCCGGTTCACAACACTCAGAGGAAAGGCAAGGCGGACTTTTAACCAGATTGTGACCGGTTCCATCAGTATTGGAACTCTGCGCTGGCTGCTGAAGATGAGGACGTAGCCTGCATGGTAATGCGTCCAGGGCTGTGATGTCAATTCTTGACTCAACTCAGCTTAGTTCAACTTTGGAAAACTGTGAGTATTATTTCTTACTTAGTTGATCGGGAAGTTACTTATTATTGTAAAAAAAAATGTTATATTCGTCATCTATTAAAATATTCAGATAAAGACACATAAAATATACTGATTGGCACTCATAGAAAGAAAAATATAATGTTTCTACGGCTTAACGGTTCCCCATCTGTTTATTGATGTGAAATGTTCAGAGCAAGACTATGACATATGGCATCCATAATGACACTTCTATGTATGTTTGTACG